CGTTTTCTGGTCTTCAAAGTTGGGCACGAAATAGGTGGTGGTTTTCTGTTTGAGAATCGGGGCAGCTCTAGCAGCCCACATTTTTGAGACGAGGCGACAGTTTTTGACATCGCCGGGACAAAGTTGGCCACAAATGGGGGCGATGACCTGAAGTTTGTCAAAACAAACCGGGGTGAAAGAAGTGTGTCATAAGTCAAAATCGGGTTCAGCATTAACAATTTGTTGAAATCGAAAGGTTTGACGTGTTTTTGACCGTATGACCTCTGAAGTCAAAATTAGGGTCACCATTGAATTCGGGGTTAAATTTCGGTTAAAATTGATATGCATACAAAGTGTAAGCATTCTTTTTTGACAGCTTTTGAATAATGAAGACGTATACTGTTCAATGTAATGTTACAATTTTGGAAAATGAAAGCACTTTGAGGTAATAATTAAGTAGGTGAGCTATGCTATCTAACGTTTTTTATACATAGTTAGATATGGGTGCAGGTATTTATACGACTACTTAACGTTAATTTGATAAAGAGCAAAATTTTCTATATTAATATAACATTCAGAGTGCATTTATTTTTCGAAAAAGTAACATATTAAGAGTGCAAGTCATACTTAAAATATTGATTAGTTGATGTACTATAAATAAACCGTTGTAACAGTGGAAGTAGCTCACCCTGTGAGAATTATTTTGACATAATTGTCAACCAATGGTGCAGAGTAGACGAATAAAATTGATATGCAATTTTGGTATAAGTTTGCATTAATGGTGCAGAACAAGCGGAAAAAATATATACATAATTGTGGCATAATTTTGCGTCGATGGTGGAAAATAAATGAAGGAAAACAAACAGTAATTTTGACATGAAATATTGGCAAATTCGAAGTAAAAATTATAGTCCTTTCTTCCGGTTCTTCTGCACGTTTGCTGCGTTTTGCATCTGTTCCCTCAATTGTTTGGCACCATTTTGAGTCGCCGATTGTTCGATATCAGTGGTGCTAATAAGTCGGTCAAGAATGCCAATAACTGGCTCTAATTAGCATGAATTGATGCAAAAGAGTCGTTAACAGACAGACAGACGGACGGACGGACAGACGGACTGACGGACAAGAGGAATTCAATAGCTCCTCTGCTACGCAGGGTGAGATAATAAATAAACCGTTGTAACGTTAGAAGTAGCTCACCCTGTAATAATGATTTTAGCATAATTTTGCACCAATGGTGCAGAATTGGCAGATAAAATAGACACACAATTTTGGCAAAATTTTGCACTAATGGTGCAGAATGGGCGGACAAAAGATACACATAATTGTGATATAATTTTCCATCAATGGTGGAAAATAAACGAGGAAAATGCATCCATAATTTTGACATAAAATCGTGACAAATTCGAAGTAAAAATTCTAGTTATTTTTTTCGGTTCTTATGCACGTTTGGTGTGTTTTGTATCTATGCTCTCAATTGTTTGGCACCATGTTGTGTTACCGACTGTTCGAGACCAATGGTGCTACTAATTTGCTAAAATTTGCACATGGGGCAAATTAATTAGCATCAATTGATGCAAATGGGTCGTAAACAGACAGACAGACAGACAGACAGACAGACAGACGGACAGACGGACAAGAGGAATTCAATAGCTCCCTTGCTACGCAGGGTCGGCTAATAAGGTTTCGGTGTCTTATGGTGGAGTTACTCCATCCTTATCACATATGTATGTGGTAAAAAACTTAATGAAAAAATACTAAGGTGAAACCGATTAAAGACTGCTTTCAGTGCCATGCGAATACTAACATATCAGTATTTGCATTGTTTATAATTTCAATACCCATTCCAGACCACCTACAAAACATCTATATTATAATTTCGAAAAGTCCGTCCCGTGAAACTTTCCGTGACATTCCTGCGTTCTGATTGGCTGCTGGGTTTCTGTATCCGCCAATCAGAGCACGAGTCGATTTTCGATTTTCGATTATGGTTATGGTTATGATTATTATGATTATGGTTATGATTATGATTATGGTGATGATTATGGTTATGATTACGAGTATGATTATGGTTATGGTTATGATTATGGTTATGATTATGAGTATGATTATGGTTATGGTTATGATTATGATTATGATTATGGTTATGATTATGATTATGGTTATGGTTATGGTTATGGTTATGATTATGATTATGATTATGATTATGGTTATGATTATGGTTATGATTATGGTTATGGTTATGGTTATGGGTATGGTTATGATTATGATTATGATTATGCATGATTATGATTATGATTATGATTATGATTATGCATGATTATGATTATGATTATGATTATGGTTATGGTTATGATTATGATTATGCATGATTATGATTATGGTTATGATTATGATTATGATTATGATTATTTATTATGATTATGGTTATGGTTATGGTTAGCAACGATAAAAAAAATCGTTAGAAACGTTAAAAAAAATCCTTAGCAACGTTAAAAAAATTCCTTAGCAACGTTAAAAAAATTCCTTAGCAACATTAAAAAAATTCGTTAGAAACGTTAAAAAAAATCCTTAGCAACGTTAAAAAAATTCCTTGGCAATATATGATTATAGAGCAAAGTTAGGGAAGATATACTGAGCTATTATATGCTGCAATAATTTCATAATTTTCAGATGGTGGTTGGCAATTTTAAAATCGGCTCGTCTTTAAGACGGGCTTCTGGGCTAGTACTTAAATATTTATACACTTATCAACCAAACGGACTGGCCAATTTCATATTTGATTACATTTTTAGCCTGCATATCGCAGCAAAAACTGACTAAACTTTCTCACTCAGCTAAGACCCATTGTTTAGGCTTTCTAAACTTTCTCAGCTATCCATTCAGAGCCAACTTTACTTAATCTGAAGAATTTCATACTTTGTAAATCATTGTATTGCTCGTATCGTAACGTAATTCCATAAGTTTTTTAAAAAAAAGTACTGAATAATGATCGGATCAAATTTATTTTACGCAAATTTACTCTTGTTCCAATATTTCGCCGCAAATTTATCTTTCCCTCAAAAAACGGGAGCATTATCTACAGTGAATTTGACGTCCGTCCTGTCAGTTAACTCTCCTTGTCGATATCACCTCGTTTCCAATAATATTTCATTCTTGAATCTACCAACCACTCGCAATGTATCCCTCACACTCACCAGACTACACTTTTCTCACAGTTTTAGGTCTCAAAATGACTTCAGAACATTACAATTTCGCAGCTTGCTTGACAAAGGCTGGCTTTGCGAAATCGTGATCCTATTTGTCACAATTGGTTCGTCAAATTTTACAAACTCTGACGCAAAATCGGTAGTACATTGGATTTCCACTTAAAGTAATAATTATTTCCGGCTAAATAAAGATATCAAATTGGATTTTTATCCAGATAATTTTTACTTTATCTTAATTCCAAATACAGCTAAATCTGCAATATTGTTGTCCCACATTATTTCACCCCATTACTTAATATACTACGCATTCATGATTCAACTACCCGTCAAATTTTCAGTTTTATTATTTGTCGCGGAAAACAAGGTCCAAGTGTGTAATAAAATTGGAGGGAGATCCACAATCCTGGAAAATTTTGTGTGCCACGTTACCTCTTCAACTTATGGTATAGGACCTTTCAACTACCCGCCATCTTCTGAATCGAATTGGGTCCAGTTCGCTTACACTCGACACGAATTATCCGAAGTTTTACTAAATTTCGTAATAAATCGACTTAATGCAACGAAATATTTGCCTAGCTCTGTAGAATTGTGCCTTTCTTATCCTGCGGAACCCTGTTTCTACCCGTACTATGGCTTCGAGGATCTTGTCCATGGGATGTTTCAGAGCCAGATTGTCATAACAAGCACTCCTGGGTTGTCCTTCTTCTCGTGCTACATGGTTTCCAGGGGGATCACGTTTTCCCTGTATTTAGCACCGTTCGATAATTTCGTCTGGATTGGCACGGTTATCCTGCTTGTCTTATCTTCTACAATCTTATCGCTAGGATTTTACTTTTTTAGCAAGAAAATCTCCCTGGTGAACATTATTTTATACTTTATTGGTTGTCTGATTGACGAAGTTTCGAACCTCCCTCAAAAATGTATGGCTTTCCTCTCTTTTAAACTCTTAAGTATTCCCTGGCTCGTGATTGGAATGTTGCTAAGTTCTTGCTACATAAGCAATTTTATAACCAATTTGAACTCCCCGCTTCCAGGGGAACGAATCGACAGCTATGAGAAAATTTACTGTCAGGAAGAAACCAAAATAAGGGCAACCGTCGACATGTTAAGAAAACGATATTATGTCAGAAATAACTTGGAGGACGAAAACATAGCAAATTTTACCGCCCGTCGTGAAAGGCTTGGGGGGATTCTGTTATACGGTTTTGTCCCGATTTTATTCTTTTACCTCGGGGAGATTCACCATTACGAATTACAAATCCACGGACTACTTCCAAGGCGAAGTTTTGTTCTCCGCGGGAAAGTTTCCCCAGCATATGCAACATTTACTGTATTCCGTGATGAATCCAAGGGTTCGTTGGTACCCGAAAGAATTATCGTTTTTGGGTAACTTTACTGAAAAAAGTGTAAATCAGCTGGTGGAGAAGGAAATTTTAGAGTGTGACAGATCAGCATTTATCGGACCTTCGAGTGAGGTTGGTGTCTATTACGAGTATCTGAAGAGACAATGACTGATATGAATAAACTTAGGCAAATGCCTTTTCCCCAAAATTTCAGGCAAATCCTCCATTTTATATGCATAAAAAATCAGGGGTTTGCCTTTCCCTGGGGTCAGGGAAAATGGTTAAAGCTTTTCTCCGGGGCAACGACCTTTTCCCTCGACAACGGAAAAATTGTATGAATAAATCCGGGTTATCACATTTTCCCTGCAGGCAAAAGCCCCGAAAAGACCGATCAGGTCAAACCCATCCCCCACATTACGAGAAAAGCTGGTAATCGTGCACCAGTCACTATTTTTATAAATTTTACTTGAGTATGGCATCCTTTATGAACATTGCCGTGGTTCGAGCTGAAAAAAGTTACAAGCCGAGGGTCACGACACGGGATTGTGACTACAAATCCGTGTTCAGATTCAAAAAGGAGAATGTCGAATGGATTTCTGCACATTTCCTGGGGGAAAAATTTGAACATAGAGGCGGAGCGTTATCCTCGGAACAGAAAATGAAGATTTTTCTTCGGTACATGGCCGACCCTGGATTTCAAACTGGCGTTGGCGAGGATATCGGTGTAGATCAAACCACAGTGAGCCGAACCATTCATGAGGTATGAGAAAGTGTTAGTTTTTAGCACCCCCAATTTATGATTGTAATATATAATTACTAAATAGGTTAGAAAGAAAATTATGGAGAAGGCGGACTTGTGGATCAAGTTCCCACAAACCATGGCCGAAATTTTGGAAGCTAAACAGGATTGGCAATCAAGATTCCAAATTCCTTCTGTAATTGGTGTTGTCGACTGCACCCATGTACGAATCCCCAAGCCAAAGCAAGACGGGGACGAATACATCAATAGGAAGAATTATCCGAGTTTGAATGTTCAGGCGACGTGTAACGCCAAGGAATGGTTTACAAGCGTCACCGCGCAATGGCCCGGATCTGTCCACGACAGCAGAATAATGAAGAATTCAGATCTCTTTATTATAATGAATAAAACTCGGGACACGGTCATCTTGGGAGACTCTGGATACGCTATATCACCTTGGCTAATCACGCCATACTCAAACCCTGTTAATGATTTGCAACGACATTTTAACAAGATATACGCCAGGGAACGCGTAATCATTGAACGATGTTTTGGGCAAGTGAAGAAACGCTTCCCGATCCTTCACTACAAAGTCCGAACTGCACTGCAAACCGTCCCCTCAGTGATCATTTGCTGTTTTGTCCTGCATAATGTAGCCAAGTATTTGAACGACACTGATAATTTTCCAGAACTTGAAGAAGATTGCGATGAAGGTGAGCCTGAACCGGCAGAAGAGGTGGGTCCCGTTGCGCTTTCCGAACGACGGGTTAGGGAGCTCGGACAGCAGAAACGCGAACAAATTGCAGCCAGTTTATTCCTAAATCAATAGATAGCTACATTCTTCACATTCAATTTTAAAATGATTTTTTTTATTTAAGAATTACAAAACTTTTACCCTATATATTTTAAGTGCTTTAAGTTTTACTGTTTGGATTATTCCTTCTTTGGGTTTGAATTAAAAATTGCAAATAATTTACATAAATATTTAAACGATGATTTTTGGAGTAACAAATTTATTCCATATAAAAGAATTAAATATCCGGCAGTTCGAATTGTGATCCATCATTAACATTGATATGTTTAGTTGCAAGGATCTCATTTTCCAATCGTTGTCGCTTCATGTTGAGTACTTTAAGTTGCTCCAAAAGAACAAGTCTTTGTAACTGGGTCAATGACAAGAGTTTGGTATCGTCTGTCTCCAATGATTTTAATACGTCATCCCCCGTCTTCCGCTTCACAGTATTAAGTGATGGACGTTTTGCTGGTGGCACAATTAATTCTGCAGTGTTTTCGGAATCTAGTAAAAGAGGTGGACTAGGAATAAGAGGTCGAGCTACACGGACTGATACTCCAACAGAAGCAGCGCCCTAAATACATAATCATCTGGTGGAATAAAACTGCATTTTTTAATTGCTCTACATTTTCATTTCATGGTCATACTTGTATCTGAGCAATTGATGGATTTGTCTCTGCCCCTATAAGTTCAGCCATGACGTTCTCCCATAATTTCAAGTTCAATTTCTTGTTTCCGGTTCGATTAGCGTCACACTTATTCTTAACGTCCGTTTTCATTCGCGAGATTTTCTTGGAAAGAGTTGCCTTTGTATAGGTCAGCATTAGTTTCTCCTGAAGGGCGGCGAGAAACTCTGTAGTGGCCTTAGCCTTCTTTTCCTTCACGGATGGGACTTGGGATTTGCTTAAAAGCACCTTGTAATCTTTAAGCATAGTAATAAACGCCAATTGTTTATCATCACACTCTCCATTTTCAACTCGCTCGATCTCCTCTTCCTCCGACAACGACGACATAGTACAATCTGTGACGGAAATGCACAATTAAACTAACATGGATTCATTCTGAACCGATAATTAAAATGGCTTACCGCTCTGTACTGTATGAGGTCAGATAAAGTTAACTACTTTGTGATTAGCTTTGAAAGTTTAATTCAACTTAACTTTATAGTGGATTATTTTTTAAATATTATTTTCTAAAACTTATTTATTTTCCACGGAAAAACTAACCAGCAAATAATCTAAAACAGAGGCAAATGCTCTTTTTCCTCTGGAGAAAAGGTCAAGAGAAAAGTAAAAGCTTATTCATACATTTGTGGGCTTTTGCCCTTCTCAATTGCCTTTGCCGCTGTCAAATGCCTTTCCCTTTTCCCTTTGCCCCAAAGCATTTGCCTGAGTTTATTCATATCAGTGAATATCCGGCCAAAATGAGGTATAGAGGAGAGAAAACAATTTTTGAACGGCAGTTCGGATTTATGTTCACTGTGTGGCGGGAGTCACGGATGGTTCGATATTTTAAGATGCTCCTGGTGGCAGGAATTTTCAGCAGAGTTTCTAATCAGGTTGCCATTGAGGCTATTGAGGCTATTGAGATGCTAAATCATATTGGGGAGACTAAGAAGGTAACACTTCATTGGATCCCTTCTCACCATGGATTTGAAGGGAACGAAGTGGCTGATTTGTTGGCCAAGGAAGGTACTCTCACTGAGTATCTTGGCCCGCAGCCCTCTATTCCTCTATCCAGAAGCACTGTAATCTCCAGCATTGTAAACTGGGCAAGATTGCAGCATACCAAATCGTGGAAAAACAGCAAGGGTTATTTGACTTCCAAAGCTTTTCTCTTTGCCCCTTCTTCAGGGCTTAGCAGAAAGCTTTTAACCCTAAATCGGAATAATTTGCGATCAGTAATACAAACCTTAACCGGGCATTGCACATTAAATGGGCATCTTAGAACAATGGGATTAGTTGATGAGGCCACGTGCCTTTGCGACCGTGGCCCTGAGACTGTATTTCATTTTCTTGGATCCTGTGACAAGTACTGTGCCCTAAGGTTAGAACTCTTTGGGAGGCACGACTTGCCACCAGAGCAAATAGTTACCATGCCTCTGCCCGATCTGATTCAATTTATAATCAGATCAGGGCGGTTTGTTCATCAAGTTAGATCGGTAAATCGTGAGAGTCATAACTCAGCACAGTAAGCGGTGTATACAGGGAGACTGCAATAAGCCCTAGTGCTTGCGCAGCTGACGGTCCAGTCTAACTATGGCATGATCGTCACCCCACCAATACATACATACATACACAAATCTGGGAGTTCGATTTGATAAGATGTCAGTATTTATAACAAGGTCAATTATTTAACAACCATCGTGACAGAGTAAGTGTGTCATAAAAGTGTATAATTGTTGAGTCAGCCGAGATTCCAGTCCATGGTAGAAAAATTTGAGCGACGTGATATTGGTGAAGGAATGTTGTAGTGAGGAGAGGAAGCCAGCCCAGTCAGATTGAGATGCGACGTATGTATGTTGATATTTTGGAAGGGAGAAGAAATTATGACATCCGGTCGGTGGTAGGTAGATAAGAGGAAAGGAGACAAATGTGATATGGAATCGTGGGTCCTGTTGCTCCTGCAAACCTTGCCTACCGGAAAGGGAAGAAGAACAAAGTCCACGCATTGGAGAGTGATGACAAGTCGTAGTACGCCTCCTCCATCGAAAATAGAATTCGCCACATGCTGTTGAAATGGGTCACAGCGGCCGCCACGGCGTCGAAATAGTTACACCACACCGACACCCGATGTGGTCACTGATTCCCAACGAAGAATGACCCCCAGGCGTCCTTTGGGTGGACACGAATGATGATGGCTGGCAGAGCGGCCTCTGTCCCGGCCCCCATCATTTGGCGAAAAACGTTGCAAGATGTGGCGACGAAGTAACAAAGACGTACCCGGTCCTCCTTCTGGATGACAATACAGTTCGGCTTTAACAAGACGCACACACAAAATTCTGCCCCCCACAAAATTATGAGATGATTGTCCCGTAGTGTTGACGAGTGTCCGAAAGATATACTTTCAATAGCCTGGGTAGTTTATTGCAGTATTTTCAGTGCACAATTTAACAGTTTACACTTTCATGCGCAAAGCGCAAGGAAAGAGCTGAGTAAAGTGAGTAGTTGTCACGTGGAGCCGATTGAAATGCAGAGAGAAAGACTCGACCACTCTCCTCCGTGTCTCAAACCGAACTCAAAGTATTGTTAATATGTGTACACAAACTGGAAAAATTAAATTAAATAAACCGTTGTAACGTTACAAGTAGCTCACCCTGTGAGAATTATTTTGACATAATTTTGCACCAATGGTGCAGGACAGGCGGATAAAACAGATCCACAATTTTGACTTAATTTTGCATTAATGGTGCATAACAAGCGGACACAATATTTACATAATTGTGATATAATTTTGCACCAATGGTGGAAAATAAACGAGGGATAAAGAGGCATAATTTTGACATGAAATCTTGACAAATTTAAAGTAAAAATTATTGTTATTTCTTCCGGTTCGTCTGCACTTTTGGTGCGTTTTGTGTCTATTCCTTCAATTGTTTGGCACCATTTTGAGTCGCCGATTGTTCGATATCAGTGGTGCTAATAACTCGGTCAAGAATGCCAATAACTGGCTCTAATTAGCATGAATTGATGCTAAAGAGTCGTTAACAGACAGACGGACGGACGGACGGACGGACAAGAGGAATTCAATAGCTCCTCTGCTACGCAGGGTGAGCTAATAAGCCACGAATAACTTTAACTTTTACTTTAATATTTATTGTTTGCCTTTAATGTTTAACTTTGTTCAACACTGGAAAATTCAATTATATCTAGTCTAAAGGCGGGTGCCTACCGGCGCCCCCCTGAAATCTGGCGCCCCGGGCAATTGCCCCGCTTGCCCTCCCCAAAATCGGGGCCTGCCGCCCTAACAAGAAATTGGCCGGCGTCGATCCCTGATTTTAATCAATATCGATAATTGATTGTGTGACGTAATAAAATTGTATAAAATATTCCAGATCGGAGGTATTGCAATAGTTGTACTGCAGAGTTTAAAGATTTATTCTCTTTATGATACAGCTCACGGTCCAAATCCTCGAAATACTCGTAACTAGTTATAAATATTTGTAATTCCCCTATATGATAACAAATACTTAAACTACTTGTTACGCAGCCACAGTTCAAATTACGTTCGGATTAATTTCCATATTCGTTGCTCTGATGTACATTATTTTATCCGGGATGCTCCTACAAGGATACAGAAAGGTGTGGGATTTTAATTTTTACTACAATTTAATTCACTCTTAAAAATACTGTTGCCCTTTTGAAAAGTAAGTTCAGTCTGTAACTTACATTAAGTAAACTATGCCAAACCCAGAGCAGCGCTATCTCAACGAAGAAGAAATTTAACCCTAGCTTAAGTATGGTTTATTTAGTTTAGAATTCATACAGCACTTGCTTGGCAAAATGGTTATTATTTTTAAGAGTGTAGAAGCATATAAATTGTGTATTTTATTTTATTTATAGAGGAACGTGCGACTCTGTTTGCCATGGTTATACTGGAACTATATTTTCATCACACTGGCTGCTACTGTGATCATCATACTCTTGAAGTTTACGTCACTAATGGGTTGGGTCTCACGAATTGACGCAGTTGTCGCATATTTCTTTCTGCTTGGACCTTTCGGAATTTCAATCTACTGTGTGGCCGTGGTGCATATGTTTGTCAATGAGATGAGGAAAGGTGCTTACGCGGTTGTTGATAGAAATATAAATTGATTTGCACATTCTAAACAATAATGTCACCCATTTGAAACGTAACTGCAGTCTTAATTCTAAATTAAGTGAACTACAGAAGTATACAAGTATTAGTATACAAAAGGCACGGTACACGTTACCGTTTATCAACTTAACGTTACCTTGGATTCAGTATAGTTTACGTAATATGGAATGCCGACTGAATTTATGTATCACAAAGGTAACCCTACTCTAAAAGGTGTGTAAAATGTTAATAAATCAGAAGTATATTGATTGATTCATTTCATCATTTCGAGCATAAAGATCCAGAACATTTAAATACGCACACATTATTTGAATACGTTTAACTTTATTCAACTTGCAAAACATTCCGTAAAAATTTTCTTTTTCAAGATTTACTCTCCATAAAGTTAAATTAAAGAACTTGATAAGTTAAAGATGCTTAACTTCATTTAAAAAATATGTCGACTAATATATGTCAAAATATGCGACTTGTGTTGTTTTTCGAAAAAATATCAATACTTAATTATGTACCAAGCAAAATCTATGCAAGTAATCATATCCAGTTTCTCAGTGAAATATCTACTTAAAATAAGTGCTCGCAACGGGTCGGGTCCCAGGTATGACCCGGATCCGGACCCCACCCGGACCAGGTTTTAGAAACGGGTCTTAGGACCCGATGATGGCCGGGTCCCATAACCGCTGACCCGGAGCCGACGGGTCCGGTCTGAAAAATTTAAGACTCGGACCCGGACTTGACTCGGACCCGGACTCGAGTCTTTGGACCCGAGTCTCCGATTTAATAGTACATTGATTTTAATGACGCTTGAGCCAGGGTTACAAGTGATATATATCACGGAGTGAGATTTAGTGAGATTTAATGATATATATCAATCATCTCACTTGGGGCTGAGTGAGAAATATGAGAAATAATGAGATAAACTTGTAGTTCATGACCACATCCGCTAGGTGGCGCTAGTGCATGGCTCATAAATCTCACTAAATCTCATATTTCTCATGTCTCACTATTTCTCATTATATCTCAGTGAGATGAGATTTACGAGGGTGAGCTGAGATTTCTGCAACCCTGGCTTGAGCTTTCAATTACCCAGTATTGATGGCGTCTGGATATTGTAAATCGTAGTTCATGAGTCTATGAAAACTGAAGGAGGTTTTTAATTGCACCCTCCACACGTCACACTCCCTCAAAAATATGACCACTGCTGAGTTTGAATACTGTTGTATTCAAACCTTTACTAATAATTAAATTTTCGTCCCATTTTGATAATTTCTGGATTTTCCATATCGTAGTTAGTTATAATATCCTAAATTTATCTCATTTTTTAATTTTTCGAAATTTTGGAAAAGGTCCCCACCGCGGAAGATGACCAATCTGGGCTAGACTTTGACGCCTTAAAAATGATACACGCCAAAGTAAGGGATTGTTGGTGCGCTTGAGAAAAGTTGGGGGAACTAATAAATAATTGATTAGTCCTCATTTTGGCAATCCCTTATTTTGGCGTGATGCGGTCACTCCTATGCTTCCCAAGCGGGTTTTTGCATGGAAATTGGGCGAAAATTGATTTTTTTGCACAATTTCTGGTAACCATCATGGTAACTATGTAGGATAATAATATTATTACCCTTCCAAACAGCAGAAAATCATTGCACAAATACAATAAATATTGGCAGCATCACTTTTGTCTCGTTTTGTATCGTTTTGCATCGTTTTGTATTTTTAAGATCCTAGTTGGTTAATCATAATGAGAAAAATAAACTGCGCTCAGTGCCACACAAGGAGGGTGACGAAGTCAAATCGAGTCGGGACTTCGTACCTCTGGGATTCTTTTTGTGAACTTGTTGGAAATGATAGGGAAAAATACAGTCGCAATGACCTCATCTGCAATCATTGCCACTCTGAGGTAAGAGTGACAACTATTTTTATGATTGCATACATGAATAAAACGATGGGTCATAATATCAGGTGGCGAACGTAAAAATGAGACGACAACGAGAGAATAGGGACCAAGACAGCCCCAATGCTCCTCAAAAACGGCAGAAGTTCGGAGAAGACGGCGAAAGAATGCATTTTAAGGATGGTACAAATCTAGATGTGACCAATGACCATCCTCCGGAATCCTGCCCCCATGAAAACCACCCAGAGGAGACTTTGCCACTTGATCTGGTTCTGGATTCGCATATTGAGTTGCTGTCGGACCCAATTACAGAGGTCAGTGAAATGGTAATTGCGTATTGTAATTATTATGCCACTAATAATTATAATTACATACGTAGGACTCTCAGCATGTTTGTAGTCACATACCACTACACAATGATAACGTGGACCCGTTCATCGATATGTACGAGAATGCTGAACTATCTTACCGTGGCGACTTTGATGATTTCAGTACGAACTCGGAACCAATCTTACACCCTAACCTCTCTCAAATAATGGACCAATCCGTGCCAATTTCCGAATCGCAAATCTCAATTTCGGTGTCTCAATCCATTTCGGTGTCATCATCACAGTGCGCTCAGTCAACCCACGTAATCCATGGAATAAGAGGCTACTCCAATTCGGAAAGTCGATGCTTCCTCTGTTTCAATCATTCTGGTCGATCTCGTGTTCCGAAACCAGCCATCAAGGAGACTTGGCTAAGGAAGAAAGTTTACATTTCTCCGGGGTCAAGATGCTGTCGTGATCACCTGATGGGCAACATGTTCACAGAATCAACATTGCAACTAATTGAGGGCACACGGGATAATGTGAGGGTCACAAATTCAGAATTAGTGGAATGGATAGACGTCATCACGGAGGAAGCAATTAGGAAAGAACTTCCAATCAACTTCAATGCAGACTCGAAAATGACATCCGAAGAATACGAGATTTTTACCGGGCTCAGTCGTGAACAATTCGACTCAGTACTGCAATACTGCCGGGAAGATATTCGAAATAGTTCAGTAAGAACTATTAGGAACGCACTTGCCATATTTCTTATGAAGCTGAGATTGGACCTCCCCCAAAGAATACTGGCTTTTCTATTTGGAATTGAACACCAGTCAAGAATCAGCGATGTACTCAGGAGTGTCACAGCATCGTTGGTAAAGAGATTTGTGCCACATTTTCTGGGATATAGTCCAACTCACATCACAAGGGAAGAAATAGCATTAAAACATACATCGCCTTTTGTCAGAACTCTCATCAATTTGCCTCCGGAGAATATCTGCTTGGTTTTTGATGCTACGTACTTGTATCTGGAGAAATCGTCGTCATTCAAACTACAACGCCAAACTTATTCCAACCACAAGCTCCGAAATCTATGTAAACCTATGGTAGTCACAACCGATACGGGATATATTCTGGCAGCGGATGGTCCGTACTATGGGGATAATAACAACAATGATGGGAGGATCCTCAAGTCAATGCTGACTCCATCACCGGGTTTGCCCACCGAAGAGTACTCTTTGTTGTCGTTTCTCCGACCTAGAGACAAGGCCACCCTAGATCGCGGTTTCCGAGAAGCCATCCCAAGATTAGAAGAGTTGGAGATCGACCACATGATGCCACTATTTTTGGAGAAAGATCAGAAGCAATTTACCACGGAACAAGCTAATGAGTCAAGACGATGCACCAAGATCAGGTGGAAAGTGGAAGGAGCTCATGGTCGTGTGAAAGCCAAGTTTCCGATTTTCAATTCTGTCCTCCGAGCGCAGTACCTGGTCGGCCCGTGGCTCAAGATTTGTTGTGCGTTCATGAATGCCTTCTCACCCCCTGATCAGAACTTATTCGCAAATGATGATAATTTAGCCGAAAACATCATAAATAGAATGCACGCTAAGAATGACCTGCAGCAAGAAGTTGAAGAAAATGGATTAGACCGGAAACGGGTGATTTGGAAGGAAGCGAGTGGGAGAAAAATTCCTGATTTCCCTGAACTAAGCATCGATGACTTGAAGACTTTGACTCTTGGGACATATCAAATAAAAATATCTCAAAACTACACCGAGCAGCACCTCCAGGAGAATTCCTGTTACAAGATCATGGTGTGCAAAGACCAGGAGAATCTACTCAGAGCCAAAATTCAGTCCAGGTTACGAAAATCTGGTGGGCATCATCTTTGGATTAAATATGTACCGCATTTCGAGGGACCGGAAGCAATACTTGGATATTATTGCAAGTGCAAGAATGGGGCAAGAACTGTCGGCATGTGCAGTCATATTTGTTCGGTGAGTATAACATAAGAGTTGTCAGACGTGATTTTGCTAGGTTATGCATGTCCCCAACTAACTAATCTATTTTTTTATTTCAGGTTCTCTGGTTTTTGGGATATTATTTGTTCCACCCAGAACTTCAAAACCGGAGAAAAAAGAAGTCTGTGGCTTTCCTGGATGCCTTGGCGCAGATAAATGATGTTCAGGTTGAGTCACACGAGGAAATAGATGAATATTAAGTGCACCGAGTTTTATGTTGTCCATAATTTGTAAAAAGTATTGTGTTGAGTTAACGATTCGTATGTTGGTAATGATTTTATGCTTTGTCATCAATTATGTACGTATGTACATGCCAAATTGTTTATGTTAAACCGCTGTTCTCCTGTTATAGCTAATAATCAATGTGTGCAAATATTCTTCAATTCGTATCGATCGTCATTTGTGCGTATGACCATAATTGTGAGTAGCATGCATTGAATGAGCCCAAGTTATCATAAACGGTACCGAGGAATTGTGTTATAATTTTTGACGATTAATTATATTTTAAGTTTCCATGCTCCTTATTTTCGAGCTAAAAAGCTTGCAAATTCACCCTAAAAAGTTGGCCCAAAAATTTCGAGCGTTTCTGGGGAGAAATTTAAATTTTTAATCGAAAATTAGCCCAGGAGTTATATTCTTCCGCGGTAGGGGCCTTTCGTGATAAGGGAATCTTTGAAAAAATAAAAATTTCAAAAAAGTTGAGTTTGATCTCGGGAAACAATACGATTAAGAAAATGAAAATAATTTGTTCGTGTTTTTCGTGCCATTGAGTTGATGTGGTGGGTACAAATGAGGCAAATCAGTATATCCCCCTTTACCTTTCGTACACTCACTTATGTACAATGGACGTATTCCAGCATACACCCTCAAAGTTATCATAAGGACCCGAGTCTTCGAGTCCGGGTCGGGTCCGGGTTCGGGTCCGGGTCTGACCCTCCGACGCGGACCCAGACCCGACCCGAGACCCGTTGGTATACAATGTAAAATCGGCGACCCGGACCCGGCGGGGCCGAGTCCGGGTCTTTTAAATTTTTGATCCGGACCCGACCCGAACCCGGACCCGAGACCCGCAGAAAACGGGTCTTAGGACCCGGACGCGACTCCTTAAATACATGTGTACATACTTCACTATTTTTGGGAATTTTTAGAAACTAAAGAAACTACATATCAGTGAAGGAAATATTTATTGCCCCTGAATCATGGCTTGCGGAGTTTGAAAAACCAAACCAGTGGGTGGACTTACCTCACAAAATGTTAAAATAAAAGGGCATTAAAACTTACCTTCTGTTTTGGGTTAAGGTGAAGGTCATTGATAGTGATGGATTTACCTAATGTTGTTGTTTGCAATTGTTCGCCCCTTTCCTCGGATGGGTTCACATCGAGTCCATAAATTTGGTCAAATAAGTGAAATTAGGTTGGTTATATTTGTGTTTCATGGGGCTGTAGAGGGGTGTACTTCCAAAGTAGGGTAGGGAACGGTAGGGGTGTAGGGCAAACCAAGTGCCTATCTATGAGTGGTCCAAGTCAATATAACCAACGTTTCTTGAGGCATTTTGTGCGATGGTTAGGATTTGTCAAAATCTTTGAGGTCAAAGTTGAAAAAATGCGGATTTTCACCAAGCGGAAACGTTGATTGTATTGAGTTGGACCACTCAATTCCATAATTTCAACCAAATCGGATAGTTGCACTTCACCCCATAGCCATTACAGCAAGTCTAAAATAACACCTTTTGTTACTTTTTGCATTCCAGCTCTTTTAGCATGTCTCACCTTATCGGCAGCATAAATGACTTCTTCACTGCAACTCGTCCACGCTTCATCGCCTTCTCCAGAGTACATAAATTTTAGCACGATGGAAAAACCAGAGCTTTTGATGTCCTCCAAAGTCACGATTCCGGTTCGCTTTTCATCCCAGTCGGAAGTAAACATGGCCTCGAATACGTTACTCTGGGCTGAAACGTAATATCATAAAGAATTTTCTAAACATCAGGCATTACATAAAACTATGATCCGTGTAATAAAATATTAGTTGGACGACTTTGGAAATTCAAATTGGAGTTATTTTTTTTAATTGGTGATGAGATTTCAAAATTTTAAAAGTTTTTAAAATTCTGAACCATGTGACAAATCAGGATCAATAGAGAAGTTCAACTTTAAGTTGAAAAAAGCTCTCTTAATTAAATGTAAAACACCAACCGTAAGTAGTGCGATTACCTGCCAAAATAATTTTATGCGCGTAAAACTCGACCCCATCACTCGTCGTGAGGGTAACGTCGGTATAGTTTTTATTCATAAATGAGGCACTAAACAGGGTCCCGATTTGTTTTTGGCATTCTGCTTGAACCTTGGCCAATTCCTGTTTTTTCCTCTCGTCCTCAGTTTGTTTTGAGTATACGCACAATTTGAGATCCAGAGTGAGCTTGTCATCCTGCAAAACGTTTGTCAAAGGATCGGTCAGCTTCTGAAGGGTTGCCAGTCTTGAAAATCCCTAATTGTCACCGTCTGCCATATCCTTGACTCCTGTAGCTGAGTACATACACTCTCACAATGGAGGTGTCTCAACGTATGCTCACCGATTTGGACGAAACTAGTGTCACTCTATCACAAATTTAAATGGTCTGAAATTTGCAAATGTAACTCTCTGACAATGCGCAAGTCTGGCAGAGGTATCTGCATCCAAAGAGGCGAAAACAGGCCCAAAATGCCACCAATTCTGCACTATTCGATTTTTGCATTACAAATTTGGGCGTTTTTGCCTCTTAGGATGCAAATATCTCCGCCAGACTTGCGCATTGTCAGAGAGTTGCATTTGCAAATTTCAGACCAATTAAATTTTTGATAGAGTGACACTAGTTTCGTCCAAATCGGTGAGCATAGACCTCCATTGTAAGTATTTGAGTATAAAATCGTCACCGACCGAGGTACTAAGCCGGCCAGGGACTAATGTATTACCAATGGGTGGTATACATAAATAAATAAAGAGGCTAAATTCCGCCCTGCCTCATATTTTCGACGTGTTAGTGTTAAAAATATCAGATAAATTATTACAGTGCGTTGATAAATTGTTAGAATGGCGTAAAGTATGTACCTCAGCGGGGGACAATTTTGTGCAAAAAATTTCCAGATTGTATACAATTCTGGAGTAAAATTAATTAATTGAGTTATACTTAATTGAAACTTACCTAAACTGCGATATTCTCCACCATCAGCAAGTCTAATGATGACGTGAAAGGTGGCCAAGACTTCTTCCGCTTTAGTAGGATTTTCTGCAAGTTTGAAAAAAATGCCGAAATCGTCTTCTCTCTGGGAAAGATAAAATTCCCACTTTGTCGGTAGTCCAATACTTTGTCCGGCATCGAGGGAGTGACTCAAATTTGTAAAGGAATCTTTAAGGGTGGCAATCTTTGTGAAATTTTTCATCTCCCAAGGCAACTCTTTGATTTCTACCTGAAACGAGGCAATTCATGACAAGAGCAACAATTAGGGAGAACGATGTGTGTATATTTCATCGTCCATGCGTTGGAATGCGTAATCCATTGTTCAAAACTTACTGAAGTTTCGACAAGTAGCTTCGCATTGGCGTCTTTAGTGTCCATCTTGTCGTCCATCGTGACGTGATGTGGTGATTAGATCAGTGTTTTGAAAATTTGGAACAAATTGGATAGATAATACTTCTGGATGGCTGTGACAAATGAGAAAAGTTGTGAAAAAATGGAAATTTATAGCATTTTATACTTATAGCATTATGTAAAAAAATGCCACACTAACACAAGAATCCTTGAATAAATTGGGAGAAATGTTTCAACACTTCTCTTTGAAGTTTCATACATGTATTTCGAAAAATTTATCGATTGAAACGTTTTTGTCAACTGATCATGTAATTTAAATTAATCACACGTTCATTTAATATCAATTGATATGATTATTTTTACTTTAATTTCGATTTATATAAATAAAATTTGATTACGACGCTTTGTCATATGCATATTGATAGTTTTTCACAATGAGCTTGAAATTGTCGGCCCGAACTACCACCCGGCACTCTGGATTAAATGGTTAATTGTATTAATCCGAAAACATGACAATTTCACGTCTACATTGTAAGACAAACTCAGGTTGAAAAAAAATGTGTACATACACTCTAAACAAAATTTTAATGAATCATTACTGCGCGGAGTGCATATATGACTCTACCGCGATAGTAATGATTTGGTATTAAAACAATACTATATGGTAAAAAAGTAACACAAATTAGTGTTAAAATTATTACCAAAAAGTGTTATTTTATTACTAAATCAATACTAACATGGTGTAAATTTTTAATTCCGTCACGGTAGAGTCATATATCTACTCCGCTTGTTTTTTTTATTACCAAGTTGCTAAGAGTGTACATACTCACCTTAATTGATTGGACTGTCACTGTGACGATATGATTTTTAAAATTACTTGGCCTGAAGGTACCAATGTTTTCCCCTTGTTGTGTCTGAAGGGACTGGAGAATGGAGTGGGGAAGCTCTTTCAGTCAATGTACCTTCCCTTGTTAGCCTTTAGTATTGTAAGGGACACTTGTTAGTAAGGCTTGTTTCGGAGGAAAAAGGTAAAACTATTTATATTCCAGGTTTTGACGGGCAAATAATACATACAATTTCTCAGAAAACATGCAGATGGTATACCGTATTTTATTTGTGTTATAGGACTGGATGCATTCTTACTTGTAGCTGAATAATTTTTTGGCTCACTCGTTACAGACTTGTGTTTCGTCTTGGGTGGAGAAATTATGCTTCAAACCTATTAATATATTAGCCTTTGGATCGTTGTCAGGCACCGATTAGATTAACGAGAACATTTTAATAGGCATGAAATGCCTCTAACAACTTAAGTGAGGAAACCATAGGTTTAATGCTTATTAAAATATTTGTAGCCCTCCCTTTTGCCCACTAAAAATTAAAATTATGCATACCTATATAAGTTTCGATACTGTGGAAATACAAAAGTATTAAAAAGTGCGTTAAAATTGGAAATTTGGTAAATACGATTTTTCGATTTTACGATTCAAGAATAAATTAAAAGTTTAGCCTCGCATTTAAATAATTGTAATATTGTATGGCTACTATTTAAATATGACGTATTAAAATTTCCGCTTGGGTTTTCTTAGATGAATTGAAGGGACATGGGCAAGTAATATTTACTTAATACTTTGCGTGGATATAGTATTTCCTACACTGCCGAGTTATGAAATATAACCCGTTGCTTACTTAAAGGTGCATTTTTTGCAGGTCTTGGGTTCCGATGCAATTTTTTTGCACTCCAAATAAGCCCGATTATCGTTTGCAAAAAATGTCTAGGATAATTTTCAAGCGTGAACAATAATAATAGGATAACTTTTTGGAAGAAATGCCATTCAATTGTACCGATCCAGGAATAACATGTGAATAAATGCCTATTTATAATATTGGATAGATTTGGAAAGATTTATTCATAATTACACCCTAACCTAAATATTATTTCTACAATATAATTATCTTTAAATAGATTTAGAACTATATTTACGACATAACAATATATGATTATTGATTCCATTATTTTTCTAGATAACAACTAATCTTAACTCTACATCGTGGTACAACTTTGCACCAATATTTTGCTCTTTTATAGGAACAAAATTCTCGAATTACAACAATAAAAGTGGACATTATTAGAAATCCCCAAATAAAGAAGGGTACCAAGAAGTCATTTAAAAGAATTGGAGTAACTAGACTATCGACCCGTTTGTAACTAATTAAACTATTTCTTCTACCAGTTAACAAGCTTGCATAGAGATTTAAACGAGACGAGCTATTCATATAATACATCGCAGCTATTAGTTCCCTTAACGTACTCATATCACTATTTACTCTGTCCCATTTTCTATATATTCCTGACTCTTCTAACGAGGCCAATATGGGCTTGATAAATTTCCAAAACCAAGACCGTTGCCCGTGCCATGGGTTAAATTTTGAAAACATGTCTGGTACCAGTCTCCGCTCTATGTAATAGTTTGATTTTAGTTGAAGTAAAATTGCAAATGTTTCCACATCTCGGGAAGGATCGAAAAGTGCAAATTCTAAACTTGCCGAAGAAATAGCACGTGACTGATTAATCTCCCCAGTTTCTAGTAATCGTAACAAAATATCTTTTCGAAAACTACTAACCCTAACAAGTTGCAGTTGTTGGGTGAACTTATCCAGGACAGATTTTAGTGCCTTGGTCATATCTATTTTTGTCAACTTAGTCCTAATAAAATGCTTTATCATCGACTCAAAAACTTGAGTCCCATCTAAATCCTCAACAGTTATGTAGTCCGTGGTTAAAATGGGGAATGAAGAATTTACTAATTCGTAAATATCTAGAGGTAATTTTGGTGGTGACTTTACTATCAGACAAGAAAGTAAATCCCCCTTGTAGTAAAACCCAAGTATAAATGAGGCAAAAATCCAGGTGATAAGGAGTAAGCTTTCTTTCCAACCTGATCCAAGGTAACGCCTCGTATCTATGTCTTGATCCAGTACGACCTTAATCACATCGGAGACAATACTGGTGAACTGATTTGTATTAGGTGAATCCTTAAATTTACGCCAGGTATAAATAATAATCGGTATCAAGGTTAATGAGACAAAGAAACCGAACCATGTACCGCCATCTAGCGGGGTAAATAAGTTCCAATCAGGTTTGTACCCTCTATTTGAAAATAGCGCCATCCAAAAGTCATTAAACACACCGCAATACCAAACACTGTCGTAATAATTGGGTTCATTTTGTACCAAGTGAAAGAAAGAACTCCATGTTTGAAAAAATCGTAATTTAGTTTTCTCTTGAGTCGCGGAAATATTTAATTTTATGTGCAGAGTTGCCTTAACGCATAAAGTGGGTGGTTCAATGTATCCGCCTGCGCCATGTTCATCACATTGTTGCATAATTTTTTTAAAATCGTAATAAATTTCCTCGGAATTGCGGAATAGTAAATTTATACCGTGAAAATTTGTGTGCTCATGTTGCCAAATCTTGTCTAAAATACGGATTTTTGCGGTGAATTGGATTTCGTTATAATTATTTACTATTAGGCTAACCTTTCGTCTTCTATGGGAAGCAATAATTTGCATTCTTCTTCTAGAATGTGAGACTAAAATGTATCTCGACTTTAAGGGAAGTCTATTCTCGTTGAATGAATTTATTTTTTCGTCTTTAATAAATATGTGGGCAGGATGATAGCCAATTTGTGCGAGATGTTTGAGAAGATTGTAGTAATATTTGGATGATATAGGAACCTGACCAAAGGATAGTATCATAACTGTGCAAACACCATATTTAGAGACTACTTGGGTGCAATGGGTAGTACTATTCTTGGAACTTTGTAAATTTGTCGGTTCTCCTACAATAGTAATAACACGGGGATGTTTCGGTCCAATGTGGACAATATCAAGGGGGGTTGGTATTCTACCGATGTATTTTACACTGAAGTTTGTACATTGTTGAGACCTTGTTGGGTGTGTTTGTAGAAGAAAGAGAATAAGGAACAGGAAGGGCATTATGTATGCCCTTGTATGTGAAACGTTCAATTAAATATTTTGGTTTATGGGTGATATAACCCTTTTAGGAGGATGATTAATAACAAGAAATTGCATTAATTCGGTCACATTATACGTATGTAGTGGTCATGGTGCGGGAGGAGGAATTCCGCAGTTTTAGTAAAACTCGGAAGAACTGAAAAATCCAAAATTTAACATTGCGTTGTATCGGGAAGTATCCCATTTTTCGGCAAGAAAATGTTCAAATTTAACATGTGGCTGGCATAGGAGAAATCCCCAAAAATGGCAGAAAATTTTACGCAAAAGGGAAAAATAGTCAAAATAAATGACCTCGCGGACACGACAATTCTCCTCCTACCGCTAGACAATAGAAATCGTCTGGAACATTCTAAATATCAATACTAAATTATTCAGGAAGGAGCTGTCAATAACTGCCCATTTTAAACACGAATGTTAAACGAATATTCTTGAAATATTTAGATTCGTACTGCATTGCTTGGAATGAAAGGTTTATATTTAATTTTGCAAATGCTCTGGAACTACTGGAAACCTGTTTGCTACTATTTTGATCAAGCGACAAGTATTTATTTATTTCTTGAAAGCTGATCAATTTATAATGCCGCATATGAAATATTCTATAAAGATTTTATTTCCTATGTATACACTAAAAGACTGTCAAAAAAGTCTTGAAACAAAAGTTGTCATGTCTACTTGTTTTTTCAGATGTAATAGAACTTCATTAACCGCCGTTTAATCGTGTTCTCAATTTTTAAACTTATTTTTGACAAAGCAGACCGAAATCCGTGTAGGAATAAAAAAAGTTCAGACAGAAGTCTTGTCTTTTAGACAAGACTTCTGTAGTAAGTTTGATTGTCTATAAAAATATTGACGAAATCTGGATAATTATGTAGCCAATTCTCATTTGTAAAAAAAAATCTCAAAATTCTGACAAAAATTGAAACAATCAATATTTTGATAAACTTGATAGCATACGAAAGTTGAACTCTTTTTCAAGATCTTTGGACATGTTTTTGAAAATCCGCGCAGGATTTCAAAAAGTTATGGCGATTTTAAAAATAAAAACATACAAATTCTATTCATTTAGCGAATTTGGTGCCACGCCACGGCGCCAAATATGAGTTTTACACGGAAATATGAGTGGATCCGTCATCTAGGGTCCTTGTAAATTTCAAAAAACATATTGGGCACCCTGGACACGAACGACAGGTAGTGAGTTTCCCTTGTAAGTCCACCAACTGCTCTACGCCATTAGGTGTCGGAGGAGGAAACAGGACCACAAGGAGTGAATATATTGAGCCCTGATAATAATTAACTCTGAGAAAGAAATTGATAAAGAACCATATGGTGACTAGAATAAGGGAAACCTTCCCCTGGCGATACGAATTCCCAGAACCTTCACCAACCTGACCAAGAAATATGAAGGTTACTGTGATTAGCTTTATTGCCAACAAACCTGTACCGCGAATCCATTCTGCTTGCCGACTTTCTTTAACTGAAGAACATTGAATCCCAGTTCCTTGTCGGGATCGCAACAAAACGAAGAATATCGAAACTAATAGGGACTCCCAAGTCTGAGAAAAAAGCGCTTTTTTTGATTTTTTCGCTTTTTTCCTATAGCTTATACATGAGGCAAAAGCAAAAAATCAAAAAAAGCGCTTTTTTTCTCAGACTTGGGAGTCCCTAATATAATACAAATTAGGAGAGCAAACTACACCCCTAAATCAAACGGCGACGAGAAGGTAGCCATTCCACTAGCGGTGATGGAGGGTCTGTGGAAATCAATGGTTCGTAGGTCAATTTGATAAAGAGTTTCATACCACTCCGTCTGACGATCAGTAGTTTGTTTTAACGCATAGCCAAACCGATTGTATTGATTTACTCTATCAGATT